ACCGAAGTGAGAAATCCATACCGAAGTGAGAAATCCATACCGAAGTGCTTCTCTACTGACCAGCTCAGAAATGAGAAGTGAGATATGAGCTACTGAAGTATTTGGGCACACCACATTAGAAGCTTCTTGTTTGATCTTGGCCCCTGAAGAGTTTATTCTCTTCATGCCACAGATGATTGATTTTGTCAAAAACTGGAAAAGCAGTTAAGGTGCCAAAGGAAGAGTGCTTTGAAAACAAGTGTTCTGTGTTACACACAGTGTTTATTACCTCTGAAGCCAGTTGGGGGTGACACAGAAATTCAGTCCCTCAGACACAGAGGATGCTCCTGGGCTGGTGACCTGGCCTGCCAAAGGTCACTTCTCTGGTATATAAAATAGCTATAATGACAGTCCTAAACATGGGTGATTGGCAAGATTAAAGATGTCCTATTTAAAGGCAAGAGTGCAGTGATGACTCGGTGACAGGTGGAGCCTTTCTGCTTCCGTGGGTCTCCTTGTTCGCAGAAGCAGGTCAGGCAGTGAGCAAATCTACTGAACTTTAACACCCAAAGAAACAGCTGGAATTAGGCAAAAGTTGGACATAAATGGTGAAATAAAGCATCAACATGGGGAGAGAAGGTCTTCAACCCAAGGCAAGACAGTGTGTCCAGCCACAAAGCCACCGTGCCAGTAGTGATGTCAAGAGAGGAATCTGAAGGACAAGGCATATAATCTTTACACTGTGCACACTTAAGCACAGCTGGGTGCTGCATATACAATGGAACCCTTCAACTGTACACTGTTTAGTGAGTTAGACAGCTTGTTACTTTCACTTTATCAATCATAAATTTATGATACAAAGAGGTGAATTAGGTTCTTCTTGACCTAAATAATCCCCTCAACTTCCCAGTTAAGTAAAATAAAATAAATCTAAAAGCACACATCCTTTCTAGCAACAAAACTGGCTGTCTTAGTTAGGGTTTCTATCGCTGTAAAGAAACACAATAAACCAGGCAACTCTTGTAAAGGAAAAGCATTTAATCCAGGTGGCTTACATTTTCAGAGTTTCAGTCCATTATCATCACAGTGGGACATGACAGTGTGCAGGCAGACATGGTGCTGGCTATATCTTGACATGCAGGCAACAGGAAGTGATCTTTCTCACTGGGCGTGGCTTGAGCATATATGAGACCTTGAAGCCTGCTTCCACAGTGGCACACATCTGTAACTGGATGTTTCTCTCCTGCCCACCTGTTTGTGTGAACCTAATTAGTCTTACACTTCCTCTTACAAGACCACACCTACTTCAATAAGGCCACATCTCCTAATAGTGCCACTTTCTTTGGGGGCCATTTTCTTTCAAACCACCACACTAGCTGAACAAATGAAAATCAGCCTAAAGCACAGACAGCCTAGCCCTACTGCAAATGTAAAGGTAGGGTCAGGTGCCAAGTGTGACCCCATCAGTTCTGATGAAGACAAGTAAAGTGATAATGTGGTCCATCCCATCTGAGCATATGCAAAAACTCTCTGTGAGTAAAAAGGACGGTGCCACAGCAATCCCAGAGGCTCCACTCCCCTAGTATCATTAAGAAAAATGAACCAACAATTAGGAGGTGACAGATATAATGCCATATTTAGGCACTAACTGGCTCAATGAAATATTTTGTCATCCAGGACAGGGGTTGGCAATCCTTCACTGACAGCCACATTTTTAAAATCAAGTTTTGTTAGAACATAACCACTTGTATCCATTCATGTATCATCCAAGGCTGTTTTTTGCTACAGGGTTATATTTGAGTAATTTCAGCAGAGATCATATTACTTGCAGAGCAAGAATATTTGTGACTCTTTGGAAAGTGTGATGGCCCTTGACCTAGATAGGCCAGTGTTTGAATTTTGTGCCTACTATTTTAGAAAAGCCCCAAATACTGATACTCTGAAGTCATATGTCCCTTCTGGTGAATGCACATAAGGTATAAAAGAATCACAAACTTATAGCTGCATTGCTCTTGAAGCCATTGGCCAGGTTTTTATCTGTTAGCAAATCCATTTTAGCATCTCTTCAACTGACTATATATACTTGCTTCCTCTAATTTCCTTTGAACCAGCCTGGTCAATCTATTGGTCTCCTCATTCATTAGGAAATAGAATAGGTTTTTAAATTTTTACTCATTCTTCCTTTTTCTTTTGCACAGAATCTGACTATGTAGCCCAGTCTAGTCTCAAACTCACTGACCAGTACAGACTGTCCCTAAATCCATGATCCTTCTGCCAGGATCAGCTGGGATTTCAAACATGTGCCACCATGCCTAGTTTCCATATACTTTATATAAGTCATGTTTTTGGTCTTTAAAGTTTATACTTGGAGATGAGTAAGATGAGTGAGGCTGGTAACCCAAGCATCTGAAGAAGCTGACATAGGAGAAGCAAGAAAACAAAATATTCCGTTGAGCCAGCTAGTGCCTAAATATGGCTTGGCTCATAGCAAGAGCCTTATTCAAAAGCAATCAAAAACAACAAACACATATACACATAAATTAGGAACTAATTTGATAACTTCAAGGTGGTGTTGTGACACTAGATTAAAGGCTGTCTAGCTTTTTCTAGGCATGCCTGTGTTTCCAAAGGAAAGCAGCAGGAGAGTGAATGGACTAAAAAGGAGAGCTCTGCCCTTGATGTGGTGGGCAGCAGTTAGCTATGGACATATGAAACACAAAAGACAAAGAAAAGATCATTTTCTGTCTCTCAATGCTGGAGCTAAAACACATCTTCTACTGCCCCTAGATGTCAGCATTCTGGGTCATCTAACCTTTGAATTCAAGGACCTACATCAACAACTCCCTTGTCCCACTCCCATTGGTGACAACCCTGAGTGTACCTCTTTAACTCATCCTATCCAATATAGTATATTAACCCACAAGGAACAGAAACTGAACAGCAAAATTCACATCATAGAGTGGTTTTGATGGCTTAAAAATAATGCAAATTTAATATTTAGAACAAATATTAGTGCTTAATAAATATTCATTAGAGGGGCTTTGGAATCAACGAGATGGCTCAATGGGGAAATGCTCTTGCCACCAAGATGATGACCTAGGTTTGGCCCCAGGAATCACATGGTGGAAAGAGAGAGCAGACTCCCACTAGTTGTACTCTGATCTCTACATACATGTCATTGCACATGCTCCCTGCAAAAAAAATAAATAACCGTAGCGGGAATCTTAAAACTTCTTATTAATAAAATCAAACCTGAGGCCACTTATTGGGGCGAATGCTGGAAGATCAGAGAAACAGAACAAGCCACAGCAACCTCACCTTGCCAATTCCTCAGTTGATCCTGTTTCCTCAGACTGGAAGCTTCTGTGTCTTCATCTGAATGGATCTTAACTGAACTGTTGCTCTCCAAAGCCTGAAAGCTTAACCAGCCAAATACTACTAGTTTCTGTTTTTCACACTTATATATCTTTCTGCTTTCTGCCATCACTCCCTGGGAGTAAAGGCTCACTTCTTGGGATTGAAAGCATGAGTCACCATACTTGGCTTTATCCTTGAACACACAGAGATCCAGGTAAATCTGTCTCTGGAATGCTAGGATTAAAGGCGTGTGCTACCACTGCCTATCCTCTATGTTTAATATTGTGGCTGTTCTGTTTTGTGACCCTAGATTAGTTTATTAACATGCACAATATTTTGGGGAACACAATATCACTATATTTCCCCTTCTTTGTCTAAAATTAAAAAAAGCTTATAACCAATACAAGAAAAACTATCCAATAAGTAAATACAATATATATAGCCAAGAGTTACATTAACAATGTCTAGTCCACTAACATTTGACAGATTCAAATAAAAACTCCATTATATATAAACAATGTCCAGTCCAGTAACATTTGATAAACTCAGACAAAAAAATTTTCATTACTTATGTAAAACAAGTAGTTCCTTTTTAAAAGTAGATTCAATTTTTATCTTATATCCATATTCTGGTGTGGGACAGAGTAAAAAACCCAATATTTTTATTTAAATCAGGTTGATTATAAATGTGATCTCTTTCTAAAGAAGAAAAGGGGATATGATATAGATAAAATAGGATGAAAGGGTAGATTAATGAACCTACTTTTATTTTTATTTATTATTATTATTATTATTATTATTATTATTATTATTATTATTATTTGGTTTTTCAAGACAGGGTTTCTCTGTGTAGCTTTGCGCCTTTCCTGGAACTCACTCTGTAGACCAGGCTGGCCTCGAACTCACAGAGATCCGCCTGGCTCTGCCTCCCAAGTGCTGGGATTAAAGGCATGCACCACCACTGCCCGGCGAACCTACTTTTAAAGAGTAACAACTTGTTTAAAATGTTTTACATTGCTATGGATTTTAGCTTATTGATACAAGTTTAAACTTAATTTTGTTATACTGTATATATATATATTTCTATTCTAATTTGAGGTATTATGTTTATGTAACTCATTTAGATTGAAATGGATAATTAAGAAATACAGCTTAATTAGTCTTCTATGATAGTCAAACTTATAGCATGTTAGTTAAGTTTTCTAGGTATACATAGATATATTTCAGATAGATAGGTAATCTTCAAACACTTCAAAGACCTACAAAATATGGTATTTAAAATGTTTTAAAAATTTAGACTTTCTGGACAGTGAGATATGTCTGTTCCTGGCATCACCAATTTACTTCAGAGAGGAGGATGGGCATCGAAGACACTCTATATGGAGTTTATCTTCTTCTTGGCAAAAATAGCCATTTGGGCAAGAAACTGTTCTTGCCTGGACTGCTTGATCAACTGGACATGCAGGATCCATGGGAAGGTGACCACGGAACTTTGCTTGGCAAAAGTTCCAAAAATGGTCCTTCAGGTTCCTGCTTCACAAAGGAAACTGCCAGACATTCTACAGGACACAGAGAAAAGTGACTGAGAGACTCTAAGCCTGTGGACTGAAGACAGATGCCCCAACTTTACAAAGGAACTTTGGATGATTGTCCAGGCTGCCAGCTGTCTGTCTATTGTTGCAAGACTCCCAAAAGTTGCTTGCGTGCTTCTCCCATTTCTCAGGTAATAGTATATCCTTCTGGGGTCTTTGATGTAGTTGAAGACTAAATAGTTATAATTTTCTTAGTTATGATAAGAGATAAGTTAGATATGAAACCTTAGACTCACAAATATAGGATAAATAGGGTATCTTCTTTAATTTTGCCAAATACGAATAGACTAGCTATTATAAATAGACTAGATATTGTAACTGTAATTCTTGCTTGATAATTGTTTTGTTATCTGTAATTTTACGATGTGAAAGTTAAAACCTTCCTTTTTGAAAAAAAAAGAAAAGGGGAAGTACTGTGGATATCACTCTGTATAAATAAAATGCTGATTGGCTAGTAGCCAGGCAGGAAGTATAGGCAGGACAAGCAGAGAAGAGAATTCTGGGAAGTGGAAGGTTGAGGCAGAGAGACGCTGCCAGCCACCACCATGAGAAGATGTTAAGATACCGGCAAGCTATGAGCCACATGGCAACTTATAGATTAATAGAAATGGTATAAAAACAGCTAGCTAGAAGCCTGCCACGGCCATACAGTTTATAAGTAATATAAATCTCTATGTGTTGACTTGGTTGGGTCTGAGCAGCTGCAGGACTGGCAGGTGAGAGAGATTTGTCCTGACCCTGGACCAGGCAGGAAAACTCTAGCTACAAATAACTATAAACAATATAAGCTAGCTTTGATTATTATTGATGATGGCATTATCCTAAGTATTAGTTGTTTCTTTAGTAACAACTATTTCTTTTATTGAGTAAATGATTTGACTCCCACTAGCTTTAGCAAAGGAAAGAAGCGTTAATTGGTGAGAAAGCATCTTGAAGTCACAGAAACAGAGGGAAGTTGAAAGGTTGAGCCCTGACTTCTCCCTTCTCTACACGGGTTCAGACTCAGAGGTGTGAAAAGCCTGTCATGTCTACAGTCATGAATGACCTGGTTTTATATCCTGACTCTCTGGTGACCTAGAGAGTTGGCTTCGTCTCTTCTTCTAATTGATATATCAAATCTGAGGCTGCAGCCTCCTTATCTTTCTCTCCCCATGCGTCCAGGATAGCACCTAACACACTATACATGCTCCATCAAAGTTGAGTTTGTTTTGTTGTTTGCTTGTTTTTACCTAAATTACCAGTATATTGACAAGAATGACAAATAGATACAACTAGCAAAAGCATCACAATATCAGGTATAGCTGGAGGCCAGGTTGGGGCTGAGGTCTTGATTGGCAGATTTGGGTGAATTTTTTTATCTTCAGAACAATAAAACTGTTGATGACAACATTCCAAACACAGCCTCAGTGTACACAGTCTGTGATTATGTCCTTTTATTCATTGCTCACTGGAATCTTCCTCTGCTTCTTGAGAAGCTGGAAGATGAGATCTGCCCCACTTTGGGCCCCTGGGGCACCAAGTCGGCCTGTGTTATTGCATTAAAGGAGCTGCCTGCCTCAATTGTCTTGACGAGGCATGCCAGGACTGTGCATACATCCTGATGGCTCTAATGAATTTAGTTCCATCACCTGGACATTTTATTTGAGATTGATTTTTAAATGTCTGAGTAATTGGGGTTTGTGTGTGGTTGCTTCTTTGCAACAGAGGTAAGCTGAGGTGTTTATGTCCTCATTAAAGGCTTGTTAGACATGATTGCATGACTAGAGGCCTCAATTTGTATCATTCCTGAGGGTTCACATCAAGACCTGCCCCTCTGCTTAGCGAACTTGGGGAGCACAGTAATACAGCACTGGACTTGGCAGCCCCTGTGTCTCCCCCACATGTGACCGGTTTCAGCTGGAGGCATACACCAGGGCTCCCCAGGGATTTCATGCCTGGGATACGTGCATGTCACTAATTCTGGTGATGGCAAAACATCGATTATGTATCTATTATTTGTCTTCCAGAGACAAGGCCTCTCATGAGGGATTCAAGGGACTCTACTTTGCAGGCAAGAAGTTAAATGTCTTTTGGTGCTGGTTTTATGAACTTTGGTGTACCTTAGAGCTTCCATTCACTCTGTGTTTAACTTAATATCCTTTTCATATTCTCTCTCTCTCTCTCTCTCTCTCTCTCTCTCTCTCTCTCTCTCTCTGTGTGTGTGTGTGTGTGTGTGTGTGTGTGTGTGTGTGTGTGTTGTGGGACTTACTCTTTACAAAAGTTGCCCTTAATATTTGAGATAAAGTTGTCTAGAGAATGAAAAAGAGTGAGAAAAAGGTTGTGTTCAAAAAACAGTCCTCTGTTCTTTAAGTAGCAACTCTGCCTTCACCTCTCTGAGATAGGTTCTCATCATGTGTTGGCTTTGAACCCTCGGTTCTGGATCAGCATCCCAAGGATTACAGGCATGCACCCCACACCGATCTGGGAGTACCTTTATCAACACCTATTCCATGAGGAATGGAGCTGAGAGTTGGAAATAAGGTAATGTCCAAGTTCTGACTCTGAACTCAGAAGGAACTGGGTTTGATTTTGGCTCAACCCACTAAAGACTGGTGGATAGTGGATAGAGTCCTGAATTGCTCCTTGTCTGTTTCTTCATTGTAAAGTGGAGATGTGAAAATCTACTCCGGGATGATGTATACAATTCTGGGCACAGATGAGGAATTCAGCTGATGTGAGAGCATCTAAAAGAACTGCAACCCAGCCTCCAGAGCCTTTGTTTGGTTTTTATTGTTTGTTTGTTTGTTTGTTTGTTTGTTTGTTTGTTTGTTTGTTTTGGATCCTCTACCATGAAGCATAGCCTCTGAGTTTCATTAAAAGGAATCAGCAAATTCCGGTGTTTTACCTCCAGCTTCCACAGTATATACTACCTGGAATAGCTCATATTTTGTTTTATATATTCTTCTATGCTGTACTTATATTGGGGTAATGTATTCTACTTTGAAAAGAAGAAAACTGTGTTATTGTTACTCCACTAGGGAATTCATAGACTCTACGAGGTGGGGAATACCCACCTGCAATACCCTTTCATGGCGCCAGGGGGCAGAAATTCCTTAATGGGTAATGAATAAATCTCATAACCTGTCTAGACTGGTTCATTGCTAAACCTTTTGCTCCCAAAAAAGGGGAAAGTGCCTAAGGAACTTGGGGGATCTTTTCAGCTAATCCCAGTACAGCAGGCTGCTTCCCTGGTTCTGATCTGGTTTCCCGGATGCACCGCTGGTTTCTGTCATAGTGCCTTGCACTAGGTATCCAGTGTTTATCAGTGAGGTGGTTTCATTTTAAGCAGATCAGGCCATGGTCCTGTTGGCCTGGTCCACTTTTCCCCAAGAGGTCGAGGTAAAGTTTAGCTTGTGTTGAATTTGAATCTGAAAAAAAAAAGTGAAAAGAAGCTGCCCCAGGAGAGAGATGACAAGGGTGTTCTTAGAAAAGAGGGGTAGAGTGAGACGGACCCTGCAGAGGTGAGGATTTGGAACAGCAGAGAGGAGCCAAGCTCTTCTCCATGGAACCCGGAGGGAAAACGTGTGACACGCAGGACTTTGCAGAGGATGTGAGGAGGAAATGATGCTTGGGTTGGGAATGAATGAGAGTCCAGAGAAGTAGGACATTTTTCTCCCTGGACGATGCTGCAAGATGTTGGGTCCTTACTTTTCACTGAAGGAATTATAGTCACCATTAAGTGATGTGAACATGAATCTATCTTCCACCCCAGGTTTAATCCTGGGGTTTTCCCTTCTTCAGAAATAGAGACAAATGGGAGCAAAATGCCAAGCTATTATTTATTGAATTTTTAATTCACAACAGGCAGTTTAACCAAACACTTAGTGAGAACACTCATTTATCCATCAAGCAACTGTACTTACATAGTCATATATTCATTCAAAATAAATGCATTCGATATTCAATGTTCAGGGCTCTAAAAACACAACAGTACATACAACACCTCAAGTCTCCATCTTTCAGACATGTAGCAGAAATGCGCTATGACAGAAGCCAGCGGTGCTTCCGGGGAACCAGGGAAGAGAGGAAAAATAAGTAAAGTAGCATTTGATAGGTATTAAGAAATCTGAGATAGACATGCTCATAGTTTTCTTAGAGTAATGGAAACTGAGGCACTGAGCTTAAGCCAAATTCCCAAGGTCATCAACTTTTAGTCAACAACAAATCTAGACATCTTTGAATCTTAGGCTTTTATCTGTCAGGCCCTTCTGTCCCTCACATTCATTCTCTCATGTCATTTCATTTCCTGTGAAATAATCCAATCCTTTTTTGGCAAAAGAACTAGTCAATATCTCGTACACACCTTTGAGAAAACAGCCATGTCTTATGCCTGCCTGATAGACAGCATTGGTCTACAAAGGCCACCTCTTCCTGCCACCTTGAACATGGTTCACCTCCTCTCCAGATAGAGCCACTAACTGCTCACCCAGCTCTGCTCCAGGTAGCAATTTTACAGGCTACTGTTTCTGGGCCACTGCGGTGTCACTGTGACTTAATGACCTAATTTCATGCTATTTTTCTGGTTCAGTCACTTATTTAATCCTTTGCGTGTTTTTTCCCTCATTCTCCATTTCTTAAAGAAATATGCTCATAGCCCAGAGCAGAAGCTAGAATATTAAGAGTTCAGAGCCACTCAATTACAAACAAAGATACAGATGCATCCCTGGATTTGGCTCCATTTAAGGATCTTTAACAAAAGTCTACTTGAGAACTTCTGCTAGGAGAAAACAATGTGGGACTTGCCCTGAAAAGGAAAAGAAAAGCCCACAAGTTCATCTTAAACAATCGAGATAAAGTACACCTCAAAAATGACTCTAAATGATTTATGTTAATGGCCACTTGGAGGAAAAGGGTTACATTTCTGTCTTTTTCAATCTGCATAAATGGCATAAACAATCCGGTGGGAAAAGAGTGTTCATATCTTCCACACTACCAGACGCTCTACAAGTATTCAAAGAGGACCGGAACCTACCTAAACCCACCCACTCAAGACCCTCCACCTCTATGCCACCTAAGCTGTTGACATTGTCTCCTTCAGTGAGTCACAACTATAGACCAAATAACACTTCCATTCCTCTCTCAGTCTTCAAAGTTTGCAGGGCAGGAAAGAGATCTGTGCTTCTCTTCAGGAAACTCATCGCATCTGTCAGTTTCAACCATCCCCGAAAGATCTTCCAAATCCTCTATCTTTTCCTACTTCTGTACTCTGAACTCCTATCCCTGCAATGCCTCTCTTCAGTTTCTTCTCCTCCTTTCAACCTATCACATCCACCCATGCTTGCACCTTCATACTCACTAACATATTAATAAAGTGGCTCTCATTGTCCATTGTTCTGTTGTATCTGCCCCTTTGTCTCCAGCTGTGAACTCTCCAAGGACAGAGACAAACATACTCAACTTAGCTCTTCCTATTAGCTGATCATGATATTTACTTATGAATGCTCAAAAGGCATTGATTTATTTGAGGTTTTAAGGATAACCTCAATGTGGCAGCTACACAAGGGTAATTTTATGGCCTCAAATGCCTATCAGTGGATGATGAAATAGTCCTATAGCCACACCATGAAATATAACAGTGAAAATACCAAAGTTACATTTGCATGCAGTGCTCTGTAGGACTCATTGTAATGCAATGTTTAACTTTAAAGGTCCCCAAAAGGTTACATACAGAATGATATACTTTCTATAAGTTTTTTTAAAATTAAATGTATATGTGTTGTATGCACACATAAAGATTGAATAGGAAATAAAAACAACTAAAGAATGACCAACACAAAATTGAGATTAGGGACATCCATGGGTAAATTGGTAGGAAATCCCTCATAGTTACATGTGAGTTCTTGACAAGATTTTACTTTTTATTCTTGGTGGAAGGTTTATGCATGCTTATTAATTTTTAAATTAACTAATGAAATAGTGAAATAAAATGAGCTGGGATAATTAACCAGTGATGAACCAGTCATTCTCATTAATCTGATTATTTGCACTTGTAATCTATTTAAATAACAGAAGCCAAAAGAAAGACTTCTGGAACTTAGGCATCCATGATAATTTGGAATGGAGACTCTCCCATTTATCTGTGGAATATCTTCTTATTATATTCTGAGCTAATGATATTTTTGCCCTTTTAGAATACATACATAAGATCTTTTCATCTGCTTCAGATGTACATTCTCAAGTGGATATGCTATTCTTGATGAAAGCAATATGAATTGAGTCATCGAGGACTACATTTATCATGTTTACAACATAATAAATATATATACATTTATAGTGTAGACAACCATTTATGTATCAGGCACAGTGTTACACTATATATATATATGGAATGGTATTCAAAAACAACCAGCTTTGTGCTCACGTTGTTCATAGTGTGCTCAGTGTAGCTATGGAAAGACCAAAGAGAGAGAGGTAGGATGCAAATCATGGAGGTGTGTCAGAATGTTGTAGAATAATCTTTTTGTACACTATGAAGATATGTCATTCTGATCAGTTTAATAAAAAGCCAAATGGCCAATAGCTAGGCAGGATTTTCAGACACAGAGTTTGCTAGGAAGAATAGGGTGGAGTCATGAGGAGATGCCAGGGATGTAGAGCAAGCAGCATGGGTTTTAAAAAGTTAAGGTAATCAAGCCACATAAAAGAACATAGATTAAAAGATATGGGTTAATTAAAGTTATAAGTACTAGTTATAAACAAGCCTAAGCTATTGGCCAAGATCTTATAATTAATAATAAGTCTCCATGTCATTACTGGGGAGCTGGTAGTCCCAACAAAAGGTCCAGCTCTATCAGAGGAGGGAGTTTGAGTTTACTCTCAGAAAAATGAAGGGATCACAGCAGGGTTTTAAGCAAGGAAGTACAGGTTCCCATTTGCATTCTTAAAATGATCCTTCTGGCTGTTGAGGAAAAAAATGAAGTGAAAAGAGCATACATGTATCCTAGAAGAAAAGTTAGAAGTACATAAGCTGAAAGAGGAATGGTCAAGCATCAGGATGGGATCTTTTGAGATGAGGGGAAAGGCAGGGTTGGGTAATTTTAAAATAAAATAAGTGATGCTATCAGTGGACTGAAAACAAGAATCGGTTGGGGGAGAGGAATAAAAATGATTCTTACATTTTTTGTTTAAGAAACCTGGCATTTTCTGGTAGCATAAAATGGAATTTAAAAGAAAGTGTGTGAACTGAAGGACAGAAAGCTTCAGGAATTTCTGTCCCCAAGAAAGCTGTTTAATGCTGAGATCTTAAATCTGGCAGGTTGATTCCAGCCATTATTTTATCTGTTAATGTCACAGTCACATTTACAGTCTTTTTTTGGGGGGTGTATTGAAAAAGATGAGCTGGAACATTGGGAGATGGTTTTCAAGAAATTGGAACAGTAAAATGAGGTGGAAGAGAATAAATAATCAAGGTAAAGGAAAACCATAAATTGACTGAAGTTCCTCACAGACTTGCTGCCCTTCAAGGCTGGTGACAAGAGGTTTGGGAACAGATCTGTTTACTGTTCTGAAAGAGTGTCACATGTGCTGACTTACTTTCTAATATGACAACACAAAGTTAAGATTTATTTCTCATACGTACTCCTATGGGGGAATTGAATGAGAATGGTCCCAAAGGATCATAAATTTGAACTCTTAGTCACCAGATAGTAGAACCATTTGGAAAGGAGGGGTGGCCTTACTGAAGAAGGTCACTTGGAGTGTGCTTTGAAGTTTCAAAAGCGCATGCCATTTTCAATTAGCTCTCTGTCTTTTTCTTCTTCTGCCTCCAACTTGCAGATTAGTATGCAAGCTCTCAGCTACTGCTTCAGCACCATGGCTGCCTTCCTGCCTA